CTCCATACCCTGAGCCGTGGCCACCTCCTCCACCTCCTCCACAAATGGTGCCTCCACTGCCAGAGCTCGACCCCCCATGACCTGAGCTTCCTCCTCCACCACCTCCAGAGATGGACCCTCTCCTGCCAGAGCTGCCGCCACCTCCAGAGCTAATCCCACTACTGTGGGGACTACATCTACCACTGCCTGAGCTGGATCCCCAACCTCCAGAACTGTGGCCACCACCAGAGGTGGAGCCTCCACTGCCTGAGCTTCCTCCTCCTCCTCCATACCCTGAGCCGTGGCCACCTCCTCCACCTCCTCCACAAATGGTGCCTCCACTGCCAGAGCTCGACCCCCCATGACCTGAGCTTCCTCCTCCACCACCTCCAGAGATGGACCCTCTCCTGGCAGAGCTGCTGCCACCTCCAGAGCTAATCCCACTACTGTGGGGACTACATCTACCACTGCCTGAGCTGGATCCCCAACCTCCAGAACTGTGGCCACCACCAGAGGTGGAGCCTCCACTGCCTGAGCTTCCTCCTCCTCCTCCATACCCTGAGCCACCTCCTCCTCCTCCTCCACAAATGGAGCCACCACTGCCAGAGCTGGATCCCCATCCTCCGGAGCTGTGGCCACCTCCAGAGCTGGAGCCTCCACTGCCTGAGCTTCCTCCTCCTCCTCCATACCCTGAGCCACCTCCTCCTCCTCCTCCACAAATGGAGCCGCCACTGCCAGAGCTCGACCCTCCATGACCTGAGCTTCCTCCTCCTCCCGCTCCTCCAGAGATGGACCCTTTTGTGTCAGAGCTGCTGCCACTGCCAGAACTGGATCCCCAACCTCCAGAGATATGGCCACCTCCAGAAATTGAGCCTCCACTGCCTGAGTTTCCTTTTCCACCTCCTCTTCCTCCTCCTCCTCCACAAATGGAGCTGCCTTTGCCAGAGTTTGACACTCCATGACCTGAGCTTCCTTCTCCTCCTCCTCCAGATATGGACCCTTTCCCACCAGAGCTGCTGCCACCAGAGCCAGAGATGGATCCCCATCCTCCAGTGCTGTGGCCACTTCCAGAGCTGGAGCCTCCACTGCCTGAGCTTCCTCTTCCTCCTCCATACCCTGAACTTCCTCCTCCTTTACTAATTGACCCACCACTGCCAAGGCCACATTCCCATCCCTCAGAGCTTCCACCTTTTCCTCTTCCAGAAATTAACCCTTTACTTCTCTTCTGGCTGGCATTGCCACAGCTTAGCCCTCCTTTCCCACTTTTGAAGACTCCAGATCCTACTCCAAAGGCTCCAGTTGCACTCGCGTTGTGGTCAATGACACCTGCAAGAAATTGAAATGATGTCCACCTTATTAACTGAAATAATAATAAGCATGGCTGATCTATGGACTTATGTATGGCCACCATTGAACCTACTCTAGTGGTCACAGTTATGTCTTTGAAAAAGGGCAACAAGGAATTTCATTATTAGGTATTACGGAATGTTTTCTAATCCGTTTGTGGCTTTATTAGTTCATCTTTAGCATGGCTTCCTCCATGTGTGAAGTCTTACTCCAAGTCTTACTCCATGTGTGAACACTCGGTGCAGCCCTTTAAGGCAGCCAAAAGTATGGATTTCTCTCTCCTTTAGCTGTCCTCCTATTTACACAAATTTTAGAATTAGATTTTTTTTTTTCCTTCAGTTGTGACGTGCATCACATAGACCTATAGACTAAGTGAGGTGATTCCCACTTTCTACAACTTTGGTTGAAATTAGATAATAATTTCCAAAGCCAGTAGCTCAATGTTTACATATTAGTGCACGTACACGTGTATTCACACACAGACAGGAGGTCACCATCTGCTTCACTTCCCTGGGAAACTAAGGTAGGAGCTAAGGGGGTTGTTCTGATGGTTGGCGTTAAGCACCACAGACAACAAGATGGTGACAGCGCTCTTAAAGCAAAGCAAAGCCTTGAGATACTCACAGATTGTGGCTGGGGAGCCTTCCTGTATCCTGTGAAGGAAAAGTGACACTGAGATCATGCATCCAGTAACAGTAAAAGTCAGGGTAGGCTCTACCAGTAAGCCAAGAGAAGAGCTCACTCCGTCCAGGTGGCCATTCTTCCCGGAGATCTGAGTGACAGATCGGAGAATGGGACACTGCACTGTACAGGTGCTTCTATCCAGGATGAACTGTTTGTACCCACCTGGCCTCCTCCTCCTCAAGGAGTGATCTATACATGGCAATTTCGATATCCAGGGCCAATTTCACATTCAGGAGCTCCTGATAGTCATGAAGAAGGCGAGTGAGATCATCTTTGGCCTGCTGCAGGGCATTTTCCAACTCCTGCAGCTTTTGCTGGCCATCTTTGAAGGCAGAGCTCCCACGCTGCTCGGCATCCTTTATGGTTTCTTGGAGGCTGGAATTCTGCAGAGGGCACAGACAGAATGTGTCCATTTCCCTCCCACAGGACTGGGATTTTCGAACCCTTCTGGCAGTCCCCGGAAATTGAAAGACCTGCCTGGGTGACAGAGCTCAGACAGTGCACTAGACTGGGTAAATTAGCCCAAATTAATCCCAGCGTAGACAGCCAAAATCTGCGTCTGCGTCATTTTGAAGAGAAAACATCATCTCTAGGTTTGCCTGCAAACGGCAGGCTACGCTCTACCACCCTGAGTCCCCGTGTGAAAGTGACTGGAATAGTTTAGCCATGTTGGAAAGCATCAGCTTTACCTTTTTCTTTGCAATTTCAATTTCTTGTTGTAGTCTTTGGATCTGCCTGGTGAGTTCCTGGATTTCCTGATAACTGGTCCTCAGTTGCACACGTTGATTGGTCCACATGTTCTGAAGGTCCTGGTACTGATGTGCAGAGAAGAGAATAGACATTTTTGGTTTCTTTTCCATTGAGCAGACAAACTTGCCTCCCTATCTTGTTGATGTCTACCTACCCTGCCCTGATACATGGCATCTACTTCAGCTTTGCTGCTCTGAGCAATTGTCTCATATTCTTTCCTGACTTCTTCAATGATGCCATCCATGTTCAGTTCTCTATGGTTGTCCATGGACAGAATGACATTGGTGTTGCCAACTACTGTCTGCAGCTGGGACAGCTCCTGCAAGTAAAACAAGATTTTGGATTTTAAAAGTCCATGTGAGCAGTCCAGATCGTGTTATGAGGAAAGAAATGGGACCTTCTGGCCAGTTAAGCATCAGAACTTCCCTGCCTGCATCCCCCAGGTCCTATTGTTTCACCACCAGTTTTAATTTTCAAGTGTCTCTTCCAGCCTTCATGATACACCAGACCCCCTTTTCACCCACAGATGAAAAAGGACTTTATAAGATCAAAGGCCAAGGACGATCCACTCTCCACACCACTCTACAAAGTCCTATTCAAGTGAAATTTCCAGGAACCTTCAAAAGATACATGTCCTTCAAGACCTGAAGGTAAGTTTTTACTCTGAGAAGCATACTCACAGCTTCATGTAAGCATCTGAGGAACTCAAGATCTTGCTTCAGTATTTCCACCCGAACATCAAACTCCATTTTTCCCATGTAGGCACTGTCCAGTTCCTGTAAAAAAAGCCATAAGCATATTTGTATTTCTTTGATGGTAAAGTCTCCACTGAAGTGCAATTCTTGTAAGACTTGGTACATTATATTAAAGCCTTAATTGCTGGAGTCAAATACCGGCCCGTGAAACTCAGCTTTCATTTGGAAAGCCTTTGGAACAAAGGGAAAGTTTTTAACTCTTAGAAGAGAAGAATGGTTTGGAAATAAGCAAAATAGCTGTGGCAATAAATGTGTTCCTGGAGAAAATGCAAAATATAGAAACACTGATTTCATTAATTCTTCTAATGAAAAGTTGTCCAAATTTTCTATTCTCCTGTCTAAGCCATCTATAGACGTTATGAAACCCCTCGTAATGATGTCTCATCTAGGTTGTGATTGAGTGGATAAAGACCAGCACCTTTTAGATATCCACCTTACAAAGGACCAAGTCAATCCCTAGAGGAAATTATTTCTCTCCAGTCTTGCAGTAAAGCTCAAGTTTTCGATGACTTCAGTTAGAGGAGAGTTGGATGAAGTTAAGCAAAGACTCTGCTTTTGAAAAACCTCAGCGACCATCCAGTTACCACTTTATTTCTGAGGCTTTGACTTAGCTCAGTGTCTTGGATTACATCACCTTTTTAAGCTCCACGAACTCCTCCTCTTTAGACGCGCGCTTGTTGATCTCGTCCTCGAATCTGTTGCAGCAGAGAGAAGAAATAAGCAGCTCATCGTCTATTTTGCTTTTTCAGTCGAGCAGATCAGAAACCAAAGGGACTTATCCAAAAAAGGAATGTATCAAGTTTCCATTTAACTGCAACTTCTGGCAACTACAGAGGTAATTGCAAACCCTCTGCAGAAATGTATCTTAAATCAGCCAACAAAATGTGATGGATACGGATCAGTTCTAACATCCCAGGAATTCTGAACTAAACTTCCCATATTTCAGAGCTGTGGACGTACATTATCTTTCACGTGCAGCTAAGCCAGAAGTGACTTCTCTCAACTTGACCCCACCGCTCAGCTCTGTCCCTCCTCTCCTCACTGTCCAGGTTGACCACACCTCCACACCTACCAGCAGGAGTAAGGAGTTCTGGGTTACTCATCGCTTGGGGGAAGAACAGCATGAAGGCGGACAGGAAGAGAAAAGAGTGGAATAGACCTACAGAGCCTTTGGTTTTCCTCTTACTGTTCTGGGAGCTACCCTTCCCACATCTGCTTTAGTCTTCCAGCTTCAAAGTCAAGTCCCATTATGAACCTGCTGCAGAGTAGTGCTGTAATGGCTACAAAACTCTTGAAGGTGAGAAGCTGAGCTATACCATCCCAAAGCATGATTATAATTGCCTTGGAAAATTCCAGTATGCCTTTTCCCAGACTCGTGATTATTCACCTCTTTTTATAATCTTCAACAAGCTGGAGCATATTATACGCTTCTGGATCCAGCTGTTCCTTCTGGTTCTGGAGCGTTTCTACCTGCCTCTGCAGGTTGCTGATGTAAGATTGGAAGAAAGAGGCGATATTTCTGCTCTCTTCTGGTCGGGCACTTTGTTGCTGCAGAAGTTCCCATTTGGCCATCAGAGCTTGGTTCTGCCGCTCAAGACATTGAACCTGAAAGGAAAAGCAGAAGAGCTCCAGAAGAGCCACTGGAAAGCACTGAGGGAAACACCGACATCAGCAAAACAAATCCTAATTAATATTTCCAACACAGTAACATCTAGAGTTTTCATCAGGTGGGACCAACTGCAGTGACACTGGTACCAACACACGGGACAGCTTAGACTAAAGGTGGGGACACTTTTTTTTCCCAATCTGTTGCATAAGAAGAGTGTGGTTTTACTGCTGCTTCTCAAACACTCAAATCTCTGCTGACTTTTCACCTCTTAAACGAGCAATGTTTAGGGGATGATTGGGGTGGAGGGAGACTTCAGCTGTTTCTGAAGTACCTGAGACACACAAATACATGAGAAGAGTTAGCTCCCTCTCAGGAGACCATGCAGAACCACTCTCTTCCTAGATATACCTTCCCTTAGAGAAGAAGGTCAGAAAGATGTACAACATGCAGAGTTGGTATTTTTGGAAACCAGAGGGATAGCATCTCTTTGGTTGAGACACTGACCAGGTTATAATCTGGAAGCTGACATCCAGAAGATTTTTTTTAAAAAAAGAAAGTCAAAAGCACTTCTATTTTTCAGGACTAAGCACGCTTAAAACTTCGGGATGTAACCAACACCTTCTCTGTAGGGTAATAGAAGAAGCCCTTAAGTCTTCACGTGTAACAAATAATACAAGCTTCCACCCTGTGCAGAGACATGTGTCACCACCCAAACAAAGGCACATGTCAGGTCTGCGTGGGTGGAAGTGTTCTGTGGCTGTTTTGTTCCTGTGTCTGTGCGTAGAAATGAAAGAGAAGACTTCAGACAGAGGTGAAAGTACTGTAGTATAAACCAAGAAAGAGGCAAAGAGGAAAGGTGGGGGGCACTGGCCACCTGAAAGGGGCTAGGACCGCCACGCAAAGGAGTCATTTGTTTTGTAATTCAGCAAAATGCAACATTTTGCTTTGCTTTAGAAATGGAAACAGAACACATCAACGATGTCCAAGTCCATCACCCATTTTTCCTGCTAGCATCAACAATTCCCATGCACCAGAATATTACTAGCCATGCAGAAACCCTTTTCCTCAAAAGAGAAGTGAGTTGGTGTGTCAGTGACATCCCAGTAGTTTATTGTCCTTCCACAAGAGACAACTCAGACATGCTTCTCCCAGGGCTAAACGTAGGTGATTCATGCAGTGGCATTTATAGTAAGCTATTAAGAACTTCACACCAGCACAAGGGAGTTCAGCCAATGCTGTGATTTTTAGGGGGAGAAGATGCAACGTGAAGGTGTCCCCATGACTCACACAGGCAGTGCAGCACCCCTTATATTCCACCCTTCCAGATAACAAGTAAAAAGAGAACAGGGACTCACCTTATCAATAAATGATGCAAATTTGTTGTTGAGAACCTTAATCTGCTCTTTCTCATCTGACCTCACTCTCTGGAACTCAGGGTCAACTTGTATTTGTATTGGCCTCAGCAGGTTGGTATTGACATGAACCTCCTCAATGCCTCTGCTAACACCAACCTGCCCAAAACCCTGTCCAGCCCCTTGTTCACCAAAGGCACTTCTACCAAGGCCTCCTCCAAGCATCTCTCTCCCTGAACTTCTTCCACACATGGTACCAAGCCCTGCTTCACCACCTTGGAAAGCTCCCACATAATACCCTCTTCTACCAAAGTCCCTATCAAGATGTCTTCTACCACCAAATCCCAGGCACCTTCCATATCCTCTTTCTTCTCCTCCATAGCCTCCACCAGTAGAAAGATTCGTAAACCCACCAAGGTTGTGGAGACTCCTGCTGCCATAACCATACCCATAACCACTGTATATTTCTTCTCCTCTATTGTCTTCTAAACGGCTTACGATAGATGAACTTCTCCCACCCAGCATGCCACAGTGAGCAGAAGAAGAACTGAAATTCCCATCCCCAAATCTGGAGAAATGTCGTCTCATAGCGTCGTTTTCAGAGCGTTGAGAGAAGACAGGAGAGCAGGTGGGGAAGGTTGTAAAACAGCAGGAGAAATGAGAGTGAAGGATCCTCAGCTCCTCTGGTGGGGTGACAGAAGTTCTCCTTTATACGTTCTGGAGGAGTTAGCCTCCATTCCGTGGTAATTGGCAGGTCTGTTAATGTTGTTATTGGGTTTGGTTCATCAGGCAGCAATTAACGGCTGCCTGAAGAGAGCTCAGAGTAAACACCACACACCAATGCAGGAATTGTGAAATTCCCCAAATCCTGCTTGACTCATGAGCTTTGCTCAGATGAGATTTCCTTATCTCATTAGCCTGCCCTCCATCATTAATTACGTTTCACACAGTTGTCCATGCACATGGTAATCCATGGTTTGTTCTCTCTCAGATTTGCCCACCTCTTTTGGCATTTCGTTGCCTCGGTATGGTCCTCGTATCGGCCCAGGGGTGGCTCACCTTGCTTCACCGCATCACCGGGAGCACCTGCTGCGGGAAGCGAAGGCGACAGCTCTCTTGGCTTCCCGTTCTCTCGTTTCTCTCCTTCCCAGTCTATTTGACCGTGCTTTCTGCAGGGCGAGGGGAGGTGTTCTGTGTTGGGTTTGTGTGGAGGGGTTCTGGTGGTGGGAGAGGGGATTCACCCTGACAACTCCCCGGGCTTCCAGATGGTCAGACCCGTCTCTGGCCAAGTGGGACCCCCATCCCCTCAGGCTGGGGTAGAGCCATCAGTTCCTCTGTGAATGCCCCATTTAAGTCAGGGACAATGGAGCTGAAAAATGTGCTGCGTAGTGCAGTGAGGAGGGGAGGGGTGGGGGATGCCCCCTCCCCACCCCCGGGTGAGGGCTGCTCACGATGGGCCAGTGCTGGAGATAGTCGTGGCACAACGGCTGGAGAGCGTGGGAGCGCCCCTTGCCGGGGGGCCCTGGGTCGAGTGATCCGGAGAGGGCTGAGATCTGGGGAA